AACTAGCAGTAGGAATTTCAAGGCAACTCGTGATTGCGGCCCAAAGCTGAAGCTTACAGTGTTACAGTTTTCCTATGAAGGAAAGAAAGTATCTTTCGCCAGACCAGCAAATTTGATAGAATGACGACACAACGTTATGGTTTGACCTTAAACTTAACCAGTGCCAGTGGTGAACGGTTGAATCTGGTAGACTCATTTGCGAAGTAAATGGAATGGGTAAATTCAAACTCAATTATCATGATATAAATGATTTGAAACTGTTATCCTATCTATGTAAATTGAAAAAGAATGATCTGTTTGTTGGCATTTATGAACAATCTGTAGTTAAGTATTCCTATTTATATTAAGGTTAGATTTTCTAGTTTTGACAGGTTTTAGCAAGAGTTTAGGACACTACCACGTAAGCATTGAGTCTATATCACTGGTATATGTCTATGACCGGCTCATCAGGGTTCGGGAGAGCCGAAAAAGTATGGGCTTTAAGCGCCGCACATAAAAGAGACTCTAAATTTTAATAAACTTTAAGTGTAAATTAAAATTTAAAATTAATTATAATTTAGTTTAACAAAAAAATTTCTAAAATATTAAGTCAATAAAATAAAAGTTAGAATTTAGGTCTAAAAGTACAGTCCATATCATATATACACATTTATTAAAGGACAAAAAAAATGGTTAACACTTTAATAAAATAAGCTCCACACATAAAAGAGACCCTAAATTTTAAAGTTTAATAATTAAGTATAAATTAAAAATTAAAACTAATTATAATTTAGCTTCACAAAAAAAAAATTCTAAAAAATTAAGTTAACAAAATAAAATTTAGAATTTAGGTCTAAAAGTGCAGTGCATCTCACACATACACATTTATTAAAACACAAAAAAATACTTAACACTTTAATAAAAAAGTATAATAAGCATCTCTCTTTTTCACAAATACAAATAAATCAAACACATTTTCTACTCTCAAACTTGACTTTGTTCTCATTTAAACATAAAAACACCAATTAATTAAATTGTTCAATCTAAAAAAAGATCTACAATAAAAACTAATTAATATATAATTTTTTTCAAATAAAGTTGTTATTAGAGAAAATAAAACACAATAAAACAATATGTGAATCTTACATACATAAACAAGTTATGGATCACAAAAAAATTAAAAAATAATTTATTAACAAGATAACAAAAAATTATGAATACATACCGATAATCGATAATCTAATATCACAATTTTCATGAAAAACATACAAAACAAATAAGAAAGAACATAAAAATAGTAATGAAATAATATATTATGTTCTGAAAAGTGCGGTTCAAGCAATAGTGAGATGACACAAAAAATGTGTATGAAATGACACATTCGTAATGTTTATTATATATTAAATTTGCTAAAAATATGTTTATTATCTAAAAATATGTATTATTTTGCTAAAAAATGTGTACTTAGTTATGATGATCTATATATATTTATAATTTCTATGAATTTTACTATTGCACAATTGCACTTAGATAGTATGAGTATGAAATGACACATACTTAATGTTTATTATATATTAAATGCCTAAATTACTAAAAAGAAAAATTATACGACAACACGTTGTAATATTGAATAACTTTACAATACTTTGTAATGGTCCACACATTATTTTTGACAAATTAAAAAAATGCATAAAATATTGAGTTACAAATGTATTAAATCTAATCTTTATGTGTCATCCATTAATTAATTTATCTTACTTAATAGGTTTCATAGACGAAGACTCGGAAATGAAGCATAAACAGAGACTATAATTATTACAAAATACACAAGCCGTTCGATCATTTGAATGGGAGGAGGCATAGTAGGCCTAACCATTAAATTAGTCTCCTAGGCCCTAATTTAATTTTTAACCCTTCGATCAATTTCATATTCTGAGACTCTTTTGAATAGACCAAGTTAAAGGCCTAACATATTTTAGAAATCTATTTAAAACTTTATACAAAGCCCTAAAATGTAATAATTTTTTCACAGTCTATGTAAATCCTTATATATAAAAAGTCCTAAAATATAACAAAGTCTTCTAAAATTTTTTAAAAGTAATGATTTTTAACTTTAAAAATAGTAATCTATCTCAAATTATTTTTCACTATTTTTTCTTCCACTCTCACCATCTCTTCCTAACTTTTTTTTTTTTCTCACACTTTCATTGTTTTGCTCTGGTTCTTAACCCTCATCTCTATCTCTCTTGTTGTTTCTTTAAGACTTCATTCAATTTATTTATTTATAAGAACCTGACTTTCACAATTACACCCAATTTATTATCTGATCCCGCACCCATCCCAAATGCATTAAAACATTGAAAATAAATCATATTGCAACTCTTCGTAAAACGTCTAACAATAGTTAAAATATAATTATTATTTTCTAAAAATATTTAATGAGGTCTCATAAAATTCTCAATTTAGGCCTCAGTTTGTGTTAGGCCGTCCTCATAGCTCTAGTTTCCCTTCCTTTCCAATTTCATCTGATCGCGAAATTAAATCAAAGAATTTGATACTCAATTGACAATCTCTTATATTAGACACGGTCCCGCCATTTTGTGGTCAAGAGAAATAGGAGATTGACTTCATTGACCAAGGCCACAACTAATTCATCGTCAAATTGATTGATAGGATTATAAAAGAGCTCTTACTGTGAATCTAACAAACCATTTTGTCACTGTTTGAAGGAGAATAAGGCTCCCCATAGCCTTTATAATCAAAATCTAAACCGGNCTCTTACTGTGAATCTAACAAACCATTATGTCACTGATTGAAGGAGAATAAGGCTCCCCATAGCCTTTATAATCAAAATCTAAACCGGCGTGGTGCTACTGGATTTTCTAATCAATAGAAGAACAAGAGGAGTCAACCAAATCGATAGACCACTAAAAGAAACAAACACCGCACCTTAGATACAAAATGCACAATTGAAATCGCCAGGGACATCCTCACATCCTCATCTGAACTTATTGGGATCAAGACAAAGATTGACCTCGAAAATGTCAAAAAATCAACTGATTCTATTCAAATGATGAATAGGAAAACGTAATGGTAACTATCTTTTCTCCTCAATTCTAGTGCGTCGTAGAGTCATTCGAATCCACAGCTTTCACTGGAGAAACATAATTATAGATCAATCGATAAAGATAACATACACTTGGATCACAAAAAATCATGCTAAAAAATACAATATTTTTTTGTTGATAGAGCCTATTGATTGAGAGTCCCGTAATCAAATAATTTATATATCTGGGTGTATGAGTATCGGTGAATGAGCCAAGGTTCGTTAAATTCGCTCTACTCCACACTTGCCTTTTTTTTTTTTTTTTTTTCTGGGAATGGAGGGTTATAAATTAAGATAATCATTACTTGTATCCATCCTAATGCAGTTACAACTAGTCGTGGAATGTTAGTTAATTCAATTGGAGGGATTAAAAGTGGTAATTTTTACCTATTAACACATCTAATTTGTGCAAAAATTAATATGTTAGGTATTTATATTAATTAATGTGAATTTTAAATGAGTTAGATAATAACACTTAATTTAATTAAACGGGTTAAAATAGATTACAAATAAGTACTCATTAAGTTGAGTATTTATTTTTTTATTAAACAATGAAAGTAATAAATCTAAATATACTTACATAAAAATTATTACACTAGAGAAAATAATTACACTAAAAAAAAAAACACACTAATACACTAAGAGGCAATTCCTAATTGTAGTATTCCTTCCATAACTTATGATTTTGGGTGAAAGGGTAGGATTCTCGCTTACGGGTATAACACGGTAAGTAGGACGGATTAAAAGATCAATTCTAATTCAATTTAAGATATAAAATTCTTTAACTCGACCTTAATTTGAATTTTCAATTCAACTTGAATGCTTCAATATGAGTATTATTTATTCAAAATTTTTGCATCCCGATACATAATCCAAGTTGAAAATTAAGTTAAAATTAGGTTTGATATAATTTAAACAAAAAACTGAGCGGATTGAAATTGAATTGAATTCGAGTTTGATTTTCAAATTACACAACTTAAATTAAAATTCACGTACAACTCGGATTAAACTTGGATTCACTAATTTCTACTGGTTTGAGTTGGGTCTAAAAATTCCAAAATTTCAATCCCATTATTACTCGAATTTAAATCTATTGAGATTTTTTTGGCTAAACTCAACTCACATATAAANGTCTAAAAATTCCAAAATTTCAATCCCATTATTACTCGAATTTAAATCTATTGAGATTTTTTTGGCTAAACTCAACTCACATATAAATACTGAATATTTGGACTTGAACAATACTACTAAAATTTAATTTAAAAATCTAATCAGGAACTTAATTTAGGAAAATATTATTTGGACTTAAAAATCTGACATTATTTGCTGATCTAATGACGTGAGTTCATTGGAACCATTGGATAAACACTGAGTTCCAATATTTGATGGAGCCCATAGTTAATCCAAAGGTTATAGTGAATTAAGTCAGCAAATTAAGTCAACAAATTAGGTCTCAATAGCATTGCTCCTTAATTTAAGAATCTAACCAAGGACTTAATTTAATTCCGTCATTAGATAATTTAACTCATACACAATTAATTTATTAATTAAGAATGATACAACATGAATTTAAAAATTAAACTTAAAAAATAAATTTGATAATTACAACAATTAATTTCACTATAAGTCTCAATATTTATTAAAACCCATTATCTATTTAATTTTAACTATTAAATTTAATTTTTAAATTCATGTAACATTAATCATTAATTAAATCTAACAAATCAATTACCCGAATTCATTAAAATTAAATTCATATACGAGATCAAAATTCAGGATAACTTTGTAAGGCAACGCCGCCATAGGGGGGTATTTCGGGTAAAGTAACTAAGTTCGTGGGCAGCACGCTAGGGCACCGTTGCAGGGTCTATAAATATGCATCTCATCGAAAGGGTTTGTTTTTGTTTAGAGTCTTGCGATCTATATCCAGAGAACGCTTGAGAGTGCGACCTATGAATTCACTACCTCTTGAACCAACCTGAATAATGGCCGTTTGGTTTGAAATTTGTAAAAATTGTAAAAAAAAAGAACAACAATTGTATTGGTGTCATAGAACTATTTGGAAACCCTATTTTTTCTCGATCTATCTATTGAAATCTTGTACGATCTGAAGCAGCCATGGATATTCGATTTCCATACTCGCCGGCGGAGGTCTCCAAAGTCCGTTTTGTTCAGTTCGGCATCATCAGCCCCGATGAAATTGTAATTTCTTTTCCGATTCTATATCTATCTCCACTGATCCATTTTCTGTCTACTCTCTTTGGTTGGGGAGAATTGATCGGATGAGGAAGCTTGGAAATTTTGTGACAGTCAATTCACAACATATTATTAGTTTTTCTTTCAAATTTTATCTGCAGCCAATCGGATGGTTAGGGTTTCAAAGGTTTGAAAATTGTGATATGTGATGTGTTTTTTTTTTATTTTTTTGCAGAGGCAAATGTCGGTGGTGCATATCGAGCACAGTGAGACGATGGAGAGAGGGAAGCCAAAGATTGGCGGCCTTAGCGATCCTCGTCTGGGTACCATTGATCGGAAGATGAAGTGCGAGACCTGTATGGCCAGTATGGCAGAGTGTCCTGGACACTTTGGGCACCTTGAGCTTGCCAAACCCATGTTCCATATTGGGTTTATAAAAACAGTACTCAGTATTATGCGGTGTGTTTGCTTCAATTGCTCCAAAATTCTTGCCGATGAGGTAATTTGTTCGCCTCAGTTAAGTAAGAGGCCAGAACGCCCTAGTTTCTGGCCTTGATTATAAGTTTTTGTATCTGTTCAGCTTTTTAGTCGTTTAGTGTGTTTGTCATCCATTCTAATTGGTGATCTATCTGATAAACTTGATTATCAAAAAAGCCATGTCACCTGGCCCCGCATTTGTTCATCATCCAGCGTACACCATTGCAGGTTGAATTTATTATTCGGTTTCTATATTTGTAGGAGGATCACAAATTTAAACAGGCTCAGAAAATCAGAAATCCCAAAAACAGGCTTAAAAAGATTTTAGATAGCTGCAAGAGCAAAACCAAATGCGAAGGTGGTGATGAAATTGAGTCCCAAGGTCAAGACACTGATGAACCAGTTAAGAAGAGTAGAGGGGGTTGTGGTGCTCAGCAGCCAAAGCTTACTATTGAAGGTATGAAAATGATTGCTGAATACAAGATTCAGAAAAAGAAAAGTGACGACCCTGAACAGCTTCCCGAACCTGTTGAAAGGAAACAACAGCTTTCTGCTGAAAGGGTAAGTCCATTTTGAATTTTTTCTAGTTGTATATTTCCCAATTTCCTTTGGGAATTGCTTCTAGTTTTATATTTGTCATTTCAATCCCTTACCTCAGTGTCTGGCTTACTACATTTGATAGTAATGGTATATGCCACATTACAGGTTCTTAATGTCCTCAAGCGAATAAGTGATGAAGACTGCATTTTGTTGGGTTTGAATCCTAAGTTTGCCCGTCCAGATTGGATGATTTTGCAAGTCCTCCCAATACCTCCCCCTCCTGTAAGACCTTCGGTGATGATGGATACATCCGCACGGAGTGAGGCAAGTCCTTTGTGCGGTCTTATACTCCTTTTACGAGGGGCCCTGCTCTTAAATCTACAAGTTGTCCTGATACTGTGGGGTTTTGGTGGAATGCCATGGCCTATAAGTATTTTTCAATTTTGTGAAGATTGGAAATTTGAGACTTAATACACGAAGCTTTTGTAAAATGGTCGTTCATAGTCGCGAAACAGGGTTGTGTGTGGGTAATATGGTTTAAATGTGAAGTTTTTTAAGGCAATCTGCTTCTGTTGGAGATTCCAAGCTGAAAATTAATGCCCTATTTTTTTTTTTTCTTGTTTTGGTTGATTTAGGATGATTTGACCCATCAGTTGGCCATGATCATAAGGCATAATGAGAATCTGAGGAGACAGGAGAGAAATGGGGCTCCTGCACATATAATATCTGAATTTGCACAATTGTTGCAGTTCCATGTAGCTACATATTTTGACAATGAGCTTCCGGGTCAGCCAAGGGTATGTCTGCATCTTCCAGCCCTTATATTTTGATTTTTCTATTGATATGTGGCCTCACTTGGGTTTTTGTCTACTGTTCAGGCTACACAGAGGTCAGGCCGCCCTATTAAATCAATCTGCAGTAGGCTTAAAGCTAAGGAGGGTCGGATTAGGGGTAACTTGATGGGTAAGCGGGTCGATTTTTCAGCACGGACAGTCATCACCCCAGATCCAACCATTAACATTGATGAATTGGGAGTTCCATGGAGTATTGCTTTGAATTTGACGTATCCAGAAACTGTCACTCCGTATAATATTGAAAGGTCTCAGTTTGTATAGAAACTGTCTGCAGTTTACTCTTTATGGTTCCAGTTGTACCTACGATAAATATTATTATCATTTTTGGCCAGGCTAAAGGAGCTTGTTGAAAATGGCCCTCATCCTCCCCCTGGGAAAACTGGAGCCAGGTACATCATTAGAGAAGATGGTCAGAGGCTTGATCTTCGTTATTTGAAGAAAAGTAGTGACTGTCATCTGGAGCTCGGATACAAGGCAACCATCCTTTTTTTGTGTTTTGTAGTTATGGTTGAGTAGTTTAATTTTAGTTGCATCTTGAATATGCTTCTCGCTATTGCAGGTGGAGCGACACTTAAATGATGGAGACTTTGTTCTCTTTAACCGTCAACCCAGTCTTCATAAGATGTCTATCATGGGGCATAAAATCAAGATCATGCCATACTCAACTTTTCGCTTAAATTTGTCTGTCACTTCCCCGTACAATGCGGATTTTGATGGAGATGAAATGAACATGCATGTACCTCAGTCTTTTGAAACCAGAGCAGAAGTTCTGGAGTTGATGATGGTACCTAAATGCATCGTGTCTCCTCAATCAAATAGACCAGTCATGGGTATTGTGCAAGATACCCTTTTAGGTTGCCGTAAGATCACTAAGAGAGACACCTTCATTGAGAAGGTAATGCATTTTTTGTTAGTTGTTTATTGAGATCGTTTAATACACTTGACTAAAGACCTGATCCATTGTTTTACTTTGGCAGGATGTTTTCATGAACATTTTGATGTGGTGGGAGGATTTTGATGGGAAAATACCCGCACCTGCAATCTTGAAGCCTAGACCCCTTTGGACAGGGAAGCAAGTTTTTAATCTCATCATTCCCAAGCAGATAAATCTCTTGAGGACGTCAGCTTGGCATGCAGAAACCGAAACTGGACATATTACTCCGGGAGACACTCATGTTCGAATAGAAAGGGGGGAAGTTCTTTCTGGCACTCTTTGCAAGAAAACCCTTGGCACTTCTACAGGAAGTCTAATTCATGTTATCTGGTGTGTTTTTAAAAATTCAAAATGTAGAAAATGATTCTTGGATTCTATTAATTTGATTTTACAATTTTTAAAGTACACTCTGTTGTCAATTTGTGTTCACATGTTCAGGGAGGAGGTTGGCCCTGACGCTGCTCGCAAGTTCTTGGGACATACCCAATGGCTTGTGAACTATTGGCTTTTGCAGAATGGTTTTAGTATCGGTATTGGAGACACAATTGCAGATGCATCAACTATGGAAAAAATTAACGAAACTATTTCTAAGGCAAAAAACGAGGTGAAAGAACTTATTAGGGCTGCACAAGATAAGCAGTTAGAGGCGGAGCCTGGACGAACTATGATGGAATCATTTGAGAACAGAGTGAATCAGGTACAGGAATGTAAAGTGTTTTCTGGATGGCCTTACTTTGTCCTGATGATTTTCCTAATGCAGTTTCCATGTCTAGGTGTTGAACAAAGCTCGTGATGATGCTGGAAGTAGTGCCCAGAAAAGCTTATCGGAGAGTAACAATCTCAAGGCCATGGTTACAGCAGGGTCTAAAGGAAGTTTCATTAATATATCACAGATGACTGCTTGTGTGGGACAGCAAAATGTTGAGGGTAAGCGAATCCCTTATGGCTTCATAGATCGGACTCTTCCCCATTTCACCAAGGATGACTATGGACCTGAGAGTCGTGGTTTTGTGGAGAACTCTTATCTTCGAGGGTTGACTCCCCAAGAGTTCTTTTTCCATGCCATGGGTGGTAGAGAAGGTTTGATTGATACTGCAGTCAAAACTTCTGAGACTGGTTATATCCAGAGGCGATTAGTGAAAGCTATGGAAGATATTATGGTTAAGTATGATGGTACAGTCAGGAACTCCCTGGGAGATGTCATTCAGTTTCTTTATGGGGAAGATGGTATGGATGCTGTCTGGATTGAGTCACAGAGGGTTGAATCCCTTAAATTGAAGAAGTCTGAGTTCGACAGGACGTTCAGATATGAGATCGATGATGATGACTGGAACCCTAATTACATGTTGCCAGAGCACGTTGAGGATCTTAAAACTATTCGTGAGTTTCGCAATGTATTTGATGCCGAAGTTCAGAAACTCGAAGTCGACCGATTGCAGCTGGGGACTGAGATTGCAACCACTGGTGATAACAATTGGCCGATGCCTGTTAATCTCAAGAGGCTTATTTGGAATGCACAGAATACATTTAAGGTTGACTGTAGGAGACCTTCCGATATGCATCCTATGGAGATTGTGGAAGCCATTGATAAACTTCAGGAGAGGCTGAAGGTTGTCCCTGGTGACGATTTGATGAGCATGGAAGCTCAGAAAAATGCCACTCTCTTCTTCAACATTCTTCTACGTAGTACATTTGCAAGTAAGAGGGTGTTGAAAGAATACAGTTTAACTCGGGAGGCATTTGAGTGGGTAATTGGTGAGATAGAATCACGTTTTCTACAGTCCCTTGTAGCGCCCGGAGAAATGATTGGTTGTGTTGCTGCTCAGTCCATTGGTGAGCCTGCCACCCAGATGACTTTGAACACCTTCCACTATGCAGGTGTGAGTGCCAAGAATGTCACTCTTGGTGTACCTAGGTTGAGGGAAATTATAAATGTGGCCAAAAAAATTAAAACCCCTTCTCTCTCTGTCTACTTGAAGCCCGAAGTAAGCAAAACCAAAGAAAGGGCCAAGAATGTTCAATGTGCTTTGGAATACACTACACTACGCAGTGTAACGCAAGCTACCGAAGTATGGTATGATCCAGATCCCATGAGTACCATTATAGAAGAGGATGTTGACTTTGTCAAGTCTTATTATGAAATGCCTGATGAAGAAATTGACCCTGATAAAATTTCTCCCTGGCTACTTCGTATAGAACTAAATCGAGAGATGATGGTGGATAAAAAATTGAGCATGGCTGACATTGCTGAGAAGATCAATCTAGAGTTTGATGATGATTTAACTTGTATATTTAATGACGATAATGCTGAAAAATTGATTCTTCGTATCCGAATCATGAATGATGAGGCTCCTAAGGGGGAGTTGCAGGATGAATCTGCAGAAGATGATGTCTTCCTTAAGAAGATTGAAAGTAATATGCTGACAGAAATGGCCCTTCGAGGCATCCCAGATATTAACAAGGTGTTCATTAAATCTGGTAAACTCAACAGATTTGATGAAAATGAAGGATTCAAGCCAGAGGTTGAGTGGATGCTTGATACCGAGGGCGTGAATCTTTTGGCAGTTATGTGTCATGAAGATGTTGATGCTAAGAGAACAACAAGCAATCACTTGATTGAAGTGATTGAAGTTCTTGGAATTGAGGCAGTTCGTAGGTCCTTATTGGATGAGCTGCGAGTGGTTATATCTTTTGATGGATCATATGTAAATTACAGGCACCTGGCTATTTTGTGTGACACTATGACTTACCGTGGTCACTTGATGGCTATCACTCGTCATGGTATTAACAGGAACGACACAGGACCAATGATGAGATGCTCATTTGAGGAGACGGTTGACATTCTTCTTGATGCTGCTGTATATGCCGAGACAGATCACCTTCGGGGTGTTACTGAGAATATTATGTTGGGTCAACTTGCCCCTATCGGTACAGGTGACTGTGCCTTGTATCTAAATGAGCAGATGCTGCAGCAAGCAATTGATATTCAGCTTCCTAGTTACATGGAAGGCCTGGACTTTGGCATGACGCCTGCCCGTTCACCTATCTCTGGTACCCCTTATCATGATGGCATGATGTCCCCTAATTACTTGCTCAGTCCAAATCTTCGATTATCACCCATCTCCGATGCACAATTTTCTCCTTATGTTGGTGGTATGGGCTTCTCTCCCACATCCTCACCAGGATACAGCCCTTCTTCTCCGGGATACAGTCCCTCATCACCTGGTTACAGCCCAACCTCTCCTGGTTATAGCCCGACCTCTCCTGGATATAGTCCCACATCACCAGGCTATAGCCCCACTTCCCCCACATATAGTCCAAGCTCTCCAGGTTATAGTCCAACCAGCCCTACATATTCCCCTACAAGTCCGTCTTACTCCCCCACCTCACCGAGCTATAGTCCAACGTCACCCAGCTACAGCCCTACCTCTCCAAGTTACAGCCCGACATCTCCCAGTTACAGTCCCACTTCCCCAAGTTACAGTCCCACTTCCCCAGCATACAGCCCCACTTCTCCTGCTTACAGCCCTACTTCTCCCGCATATAGCCCTACGTCACCATCCTATAGCCCGACCTCTCCATCCTACAGCCCTACTTCACCATCCTACAGCCCAACCTCACCGTCCTACAGTCCAACCTCGCCTTCTTACAGCCCTACTTCTCCATCATACAGCCCTACCTCTCCTGTCTATAGCCCAACTTCCCCCGGTTACAGTCCTACTTCTCCCAGCTATAGCCCCACATCTCCAAGTTACAGCCCCACTTCTCCAAGTTACAATCCTTCATCAGCAAAATACAGCCCATCCCTGGCGTATTCCCCGAGCAGTCCAAGACTCTCTCCATCCAGTCCATACAGTCCAACGTCTCCTAATTACAGGTAAATTATAATGTCCTTGCTCCTGTACTTGAATTACTTGCTGTGTTTGGTTGCGTTTGGTTAGTTTGGCCCAGCTTTGTGCAGCATTCAGTTATCATCATTTAGATTTGTAATTTTTGGGCCAAATTTATTTTCGAAGTCAGCAGGCAATAATTGGCTTAGCTCACTGTGTAATTTGAATTTTCTGTAGCCCGACATCACCTTCATATTCACCAACATCGCCATCGTACTCACCTTCAAGTCCAACGTACAGTCCTAGCAGGTAAATTGATTCTCATTTTTCTTGGCGACCTTTGTGCACACATTGTTGTTCAATTTTCCTATTCCTTTTCTGGGAAAATGTTATGGACAAGCAATAGCATGCCATTTATTCCAAACAACAATGATCTGATCATTCTTGAGAGGATGATGGTGCAGTTTACTTTTCTGTTGCTATGGTCAAATTGTAAGTTTTGGGACATGAATTATATGATTGGCCTATTTCTTAAATTTGTTGCTCCTTAGTCTTACTCTTACTCTTATAGCCATTTATGATAACTCACGACCCATTTATGCTACGTTTAGGTGTCCATGTTCCAAATAGTTTCAGAGAAACAAATTTGGGATTGCTTTCGAATTGGTTGTATATGAAATTGGACACATGATGCATGAGTTCTCTCCCGTATATAACGATGCCTTTACTTCTATGTTACATTGGCTAATAATTTGTCCTTGAGGGAACTCATGCACTGGAATGATTGCCTCTGTATATTACCTTTTTGCAGCCCTTACAATTCTGGTGTCAGCCCAGACTATAGCCCAAGTTCACCACAATACAGGTGGGTGGAAATTTTTTCATATAGATTTTTTATCTTCATTAATTATTGTAATGATGGTTTGAGTTTAATATCAGTTTGACTTTTTACATTTAATGGGCTTGTTTCAGTCCAAGTGCTGGGTATTCACCAAGTGCACCTGGATATTCACCATCGTCTACCAGCCAGTATACTCCACACACGAGCAACAAGGACAATGGAAGTAAACGGTAGCTTGAAATTTTCTTGATAATTTGATGCAAATCCTATTGTGGAAAATAAATCTTTGGTTTTTGTTTCTAAGCGGAACCTCAAGGAAGACCTACCAGGAATATGATTGATGCTTCAACATTGTACCCCCCACCCCTCGGCCCCTTCTTCCTGTCTTGTCTAATTGAAAGGGAAGCTGTTGCGTCCTAAATTATCATTTGTGGGAAGGAGGTGAACTTTGTATTATAGGCCCCAGTGATCATTACGTGTATGCGTTGCAACCGCTTGAATCTCTTCCGTAGGTTGAGCCCACTGTCCCGCTTCATGAAGTTGATCTTTGTATTAGTGATGTTTTTTTTTTATTTGGATTATGATCTGATATATGTCTGCTCACTAATGTGTTCATGTATTTACATTGTTCAGTGTTAATATACTTTTGAGTAGTTTGTTTTTGTTTCTGTTTTAAATGGTTTTTGTCGTATAGAAAGGCAAGGTTGAGTACAATGGGTTTTTCTTTTTGATCTCTTGTTTTTTGTTTATGGTTTTTTGGTCGATGAAAAAACTTTGACCTGTGTTATTCGTATTTGACACATAATTTCTAATCTGATTGTATCTTGATATGTTTTCTTTGGGTAGGAGGGGCATGTTTCAGTGATCACTATAATAAATGGATGTTTTAGTTTCCAATTTTTTTAGGCGATGCAAAATTATTAGTCACCTAAAATGGTTCCACAAAAAATTAAATATTTTGTTTTTCCCCAGGCGTTGGTACCAGACAAGTGGGTGGGTGGACTCGCATAGCAATGTTTTTGTAAAACTAGTCATGTGGTAGATAAAGGGTGTGTGTTCTTATTATCAAAGGGAATTGTGTAATGTGAGAGAAGTCTGCGGCATGTAAACCCATATTTACCCACGTGGTTCAATGTAATTTGAGGGCTAACACGAAAAATTAAATGAGAATTTGAGGTTTGAAACGAAAAATTTTCATTTAATTTCTGGTTTAATTTTTAATTTTTTTTGATAATTTTTGAATAATTAAGGATGACGTGGAATATGTGGTTAAAACAGTTTGAACTCGGAATGGATTGAAATTAGTGAAATTTGATTCGTATTGGGTCAATGATTAAGAATTCTTTCAGTTTTGCACCGAATTCATGTTTAGGCCATCAAAATCATGTTTTGTTCATTTTAGAAAAAATTTAAAAAATTAATAATAAATCTTAGAATAATCCAAATTCAGCGGGCGCTAATTTTTTTAAACGTCAAACAATATGTACTATTATTTTAATCAGTTAGATTATAATTTTATATTTTTTAATAATTTTCTTGTAATTTTTTATTTTTTGATAATCTCCCCCTTTTTTTTTAACTTTACGAAAAAATTCAAAAAATTAATAATAAATCATTGGAGAGTTCAAATTCAGCNTAATAATAATTGAGGATGATATAAAATAGGCAGCTGAAATGGCCTGGACTTAGAATCAANGTAATTTTTTATTTTTTGATAATCTCCCCCTTTTTTTTTAACTTTACGAAAAAATTCAAAAAATTAATAATAAATCATTGGAGAGTTCAAATTCAGCACCCCAATTTTTTTTAAACTTTAGACAATCTTTACTTTTATTTTAATCAATTAAATTGTAATTTTATATTTCTTAATAATTTTTGTACAATTTTTAATTTTTTTTTGATAATTTTTGNTGTAATTTTATATTTCTTAATAATTTTTGTACAATTTTTAATTTTTTTTTGATAATTTTTGAATAATTGAGGATGATATAAAATAGGCAGCTGAAATGGCCTGGACTTAGAATCAATGAAACTAGTGGAATTTGATTCGGATCAGGTCAATGATCAAGACTCGTAGCTATGCGATGAGCTGTGCAAATTTTGCGTTGCAATCCATCAAGTAGGCCCTCAAAATCCCCTTTTTTTTTTTTAGCAAAGAATTTAAAAAATTAATAATAAATCATAGGAGAGTTCGAATTCAATGCTGCTAATTTTTTTAGACTCCAAACAATACGTACTTTTATTTTAATCAGTTAAATTGCAAGTTTCTATTTTTTAATAATTTTCGTGTAATTTTTAATATTTTGATAATTTTTTTTTCTATTTTAAGAAAAAAATTAAAAAATTAATAATAAATCATAGGAGAATCCGAATTCAGCGCTCCTAATTTTTTTAGACTCTAGACAATATGTACTTTATTTTAATCAATCAGATTGCAATTTTTATTTTTTTTTGATAATTTTTGAATAATTGAGGATATGTACAATATGTGGCTGAAATGACCTGAACTTAGAATGAATTGAAACCAGTGAAATTTGATCCGAATTGGGCCAACTATCAAGACTCATAGCAATGCGATGAGCTCCGTCGGTTTTGCGGCGAATTTCATCCTTGAGACCCTCAAAGTTGAGTTATTATTTTTTTTTGGGGAAAAAAATAAAAAATTAATAATAAATCATAGGAGAGTTCGGATTTAGTGCCACTAATATTTTTAGATTCCAGACAATATGTACTTTTATTTTAATTAGTTAGATTGTAATTTTTTATTTTTTAATAATTTTTGTGTAATTTTTAATTTTTTGATAATCCCAATTTCTTCACTTTAAGAAAAAATTTAAAAAATTAATAATAAATCATAGGAGAATCCGAATTCAACGCCATTAATTTTTTTTAGACTCTAAACAATCTCTACTTTTATTTTATTCAATTATATTGTAATTTTTTTATTTTTTTAATAATATTTAATTTTTTTGATAATTTTTCAAAAATTGAGGACGATGTACAATATGTGGCTGAAATGGCTCGGAATTAAAATGGATTGAGAGCAGTGAAATTTGATTCGGATTGGGCCAACGATCAATACTCATTGTTATGTGATGAGCTCTATCAATTTTGCGCCGAATTTCATCGTTTATGCCCTTAAAATCATATTTTTTTTATTTTAGAAAAAAATTCAAAAAATTAATAATACATCATAGGAGTGTACAAATTTAGCGCCGCTATTTTTTTTAGACTCCAAACAATTTGTAATTTTATTCCAATTAGTTAAATTGTAATTTATATTTTTTAATAATTTTTGTGTAATTTTTAATTTTTTGATAATCTCATTTTTTTTAATTTTAGAAAAGAATTCCAAAAATTAATAATAAATCATAGGAGAGTCTGAAATCAATGCCACTGATTTTTTTAGACTTCAGACAATACTTATTTTTATTTTAATTAGTTAGATTGTAATTTTTTATTTTTTTAATAATTTCTAATTTTTTACAATTTGTTTATTTTACGAAAAATTTCAAACAATTAATAATAAATCATAGAAAAGTCTAAAATCAGCACCGCTAATTTTTTTAGGCTTCAAACAATATGTATTTTTATTTTAATCAGTGAGAGTGAAATTTTCTATTTTCTAATAATTTTTGTGTAATNATTTGTTTATTTTACGAAAAATTTCAAACAATTAATAATAAATCATAGAAAAGTCTAAAATCAGCACCGCTAATTTTTTTAGGCTTCAAACAATATGTATTTTTATTTTAATCAGTTAGAGTGAAATTTTCTATTTTCTAATAATTTTCGTGTAATTTTTTTGATAATTTTTGAATAATTGAGAATGATGTAGAATAAGTGGCTAAAATGGCCCGGATTCAGAATGGATTGAGAGCAGTGGAATTGGATCCGAATCGAGCCAACGTTCAAGACTCATTGCCATGCGATGTGCTATGTCAGTTTTGTGCTGAATTTCATCGTTTGGGCCACAAAATTCTTAACTTTTTTTAATAAAAAATTTTAAAAAATTAATAATAAATTATAAGAGATTCCGAATTCAGCGCCGCCAATTTTTTTTAACTCCAGACATTCCGTACATTTTTTTAATTAGTTAGATTGTAATTTTCTATTTTTTAATAATTTTTGTGTAATTTCTAATTTTTTAATAATTCCCTTTTTTCTCATTTTAGAAAAGAATTAAAAAATTAATAATAAATCATATGATTGTCCAAAAATCAAAGCCGATAATTTTTTAAGGCTCTAGACAATACGTATTTTATTTTAATCAGTTAGAGTGTAATTTTTTAATTTTTAATAACTTTTGTGCAATTTTAAAATTTTGAATCATTGAGGATGATGCAGAATAGGTAGGTGGCTGGAATGGCCTNTAATTTCTAATTTTTTAATAATTCCCTTTTTTCTCATTTTAGAAAAGAATTAAAAAAATTAATAATAAATCATATGATTGTCCAAAAATCAAAGCCGATAATTTTTTAAGGCTCTAGACAATACATATTTTATTTTAATCAGTTAGAGTGCAATTTTTTAATTTTTAATAATTTTTGTGCAATTTTAAAATTTTGAATCATTGAGGATGATGCAAAATAGGTAGGTGGCTGGAATGGCCCGGACTCATAATGGATTGAGATTAGTGGAATTTAATCTGGATTGGGCCAACGACCAAGGCTCATTGCTATGTGATGAGCTCTGTCAGTTTTGCGACGAATTTTATAGTTTAGGCCCTTAAAATCTTCTTCTTTTTTTTTTAAGGAAAGAATTCAAAAAAAATAATAATAATTCATAGGAGAGCCCGAAAATTAGCGCGATTTTTTTTAGACTCTAAACATTATGCACTTTTATTTTAATCAGTTAGATTATAATTTTTTTTTCAATAATTTTTTGCAATTTTAGATTTTTTAATAANTATTTATAAGGAAAGAATTCAAAAAAAAAAATAATAATTCATAGGAGAGCCCGAAAATTAGCGCGATTTTTTTTTAGACTCTAAACATTATGCACTTTTATTTTAATTAGTTAGATTATAATTTTTTTTTCAATAATTTTTTGCAATTTTAGATTTTTTTAATAATTTTTTTATGATGTACAATAGGTGGTTGAAATGACCTAGACTCTGAATGAGTGTAGACCAGTGAAATTTGATCTGGATCGGGCAAACGATCAAAGACTCTTGCCTATGCGATGAGCTCTATTAGTTTTGCGGTGAATTCCGTTGTTTAGATCCCCAAAATCGCGTATTTTCTATTTTAGGAGGAATTTAAAAAATTAATAATAAATCATAGTTGAGTTTGAATTCAATGCTGTCAATTTTTTTTAAACTTTAGACAATACGTACTATTATTTTAATTAGTTGGACTGTAATTTTCTATTTTTTTTATAATTTTTGTGTAATNCAATGCTGTCAATTTTTTTTAAACTTTAGACAATACGTACTATTATTTTAATCAGTTGGACTGTAATTTTCTATTTTTTTCATAATTTTTGTGTAATTTTAATTTTTTGATAATTCTCTTTTTTATTTTGGGAAAGAATTTAAAAAATTAATAATAAATCATAGGATAGTCTAAATTCAATGTCACTAATTTTTTTAAACTTCTGACAATGCTTACTTTTATTTGAATCAGTTAGATTGTAATTTTTTATTTTTTAATAATTTTTGTGCAATTTATAATTTTTTGATAATTTTTAAATAATTGAAGATG